ACCGTACTAGCTCATCCCGGCCTTGCTGCTCACGAGCGCAAGGCCTTGCTGCTGCTCATCACGGCCTTGGGCGTCACGGCCGCTTCCGCCGCCGGAGACTTTCGGCGTCGGCTCGCAGTAGTAGCACGCGGTGTCGAGCCTCAGCCTCTCGAGGCAGGGCCCGTCGCGAATGGCCTTGGCGTCTGCGAGGGTGAGCCACGCAGGCACGCGGCCGACCGGCCACATGTCTCCTATTGCAAGCCGGTCGGGGCGGCCGATCGCCTGGAGCATCATTCGGGCGCGATCCTTGCCCAAGCACTCAAAGTCGAGCTCGACGAGGTAGTGGAAGCGGCCCTCCTGGCAGTGGTCGTAAAAGCGGTCGCCTTCGGCGGGGCAGACCTGCTCGAGCGGGTAGAGGCGGCGGTAGTGCTGCCACGCCGCCCAGCAGGCCGCCGCAAGGAGCAGGAGGTACGCCGGCAGCCGGTAGCGCAGAAATCTCCGCCGCGCCGCGCGCCGCTCCATCCGCGCGCGCTTCTCGCCCATGCTGAGGTACGCTGAGTGGCGCCAACACGCTACCTAGGTACGAGTATGCGCTGGTCTGTGAGATTCACAGCCAGTTGTTGAGAAGAAAATACAGACGGCGCGGTGCGCTGGTCTGTGAGAGGTTGAGGTGCGAGCCCTGGAGGCCCTGGGGATGGGGGGAGACTACCCGCGGGCCTAGAAGGCCCGCGCGCAGGGAGGTGGGGCATTGAGACCGGTCATGAATGAGTGCGCGACACGCATACTGCGAGCAGCGTTGTTGATGTTCTGCGCGTCGCCACAGACGGCGGCGCGCGAGAGCTGTTGCGAGTGGTGCTGGGCGAAGCCCCGGGCGCTGCCGGAGGCTGTGCCGTAGAGCGTAGTCGGTGCGGTCGACGGCGCTCGGGCTGCCGACCTCTTTGGCGAAGTTGGGCGGACTGTTGGGCTCTCTGAAGTCTCTGTGTTGAACTGGGGCTTGTGCGCGAACCCCACCAGTCTGGCCGAGCGGCACGCCGCCGCTGGGGGCGTGAGAAGGCCGTGGGGGACGGCGGCGGACCCCATTCTTCGATACAGAATGGGCCCTCACCGCGGCCCGTCTGCTGCTGAAAATGTGGCATGTTGGGGGCTCTCTTGTGTGACTCCTCTGGCTCGCCGCGTTAAAGTGGCGCCTGTGTGTGACCAGCCCCAACCCCGGCAAGCGCCCCCCGGCCGCTGGGGCTGCGAGGCGGCCGGGTGAGCGCGCGCGAGACGCCATTCTTGATGTAAGGATGCCATTCTATAATCTAGAACGGCCAGGTGGGCTGAGACCGCTTGCGCCAAGAGACGCACTCAAGCAAAAAGAGAAATCTCACCGGCGCAAGGACACCCTAAGCAAGGGATTCACGCCGCGCACACAAAAAACCGCGAAGATCTGCTTCCCTCTCTCTCCATCTGTATTCAGGAGAGACGCCTGTGTCATGCCCTCGCTGAGAGCTCCTGTACTGCGGAGGGGTATCTCTACTCTAATGGGTCCGTCACTTTTTTGGTGTACTGTGAGTGTCAGGTCGCGCCAGTCCCTTTTCTTTTTCTTTGCTTGTTAGAAAAGAAATAAATGCCACGTGTCTTCGGGCGCCGGTGTGCAGGTCAGCAGCGGGTCGGCCCCGATTTGCTCGATCGTGACCAGCGCGCCGGTGCCGTGCTTCTGACGAGGTCGATGGTCAGGGTTGGCGACGACACCGCCGAAACCGGGTCCTTCCTCTGCCGCCCTGGCACCGGCTACAGGACCCGCACTGGCAAGACGTGCTGCCCAGCGAGCAACATCCGGCAAGACAACCTGCACAGCTGGTTCCGTGCGGATGCGCGACTCTCCTCCATGAGCGGCGGCGTCGCCAGTATCTCGTTCCGCCTCTACTTTCGGTACGTCTTCAACGAGCGGGTCGAGTGGCGGCCGCTCCGGTGGGAGCTCCTGAGCGAGATGCACGGCCGGCGCGTGCATGTCTCTGCTGCATCGACCGACCTGCGGTACGCGTGGCACGTCCATCCGGACGCCGCCTCGCTCGCGCCCAACGCGGCCGACCTCCCCATTCAGCTCCGCCTTCCGGACGGCGCCGGCTCGACACCGCTCACCGTTCGGCTGCACGCGAGCTTTGGCGTGCGCGCGTGGGATCCGGCGATACAGATGTGCATCGACTCTGAGGACGTCGTCCACGTCGACCCGGGCAGAGGCCAAGAGATGCTCGTCGAGGGCGAGGCGCTCACCAACCCCGTCACGCTGACCCCAGCAGGACACTCGCGGCCCCGCCCGGAACCGCCTCTGGTGGCGGCGCTGAGCGCGGACCGCAGGCTTGTGACGCTGCGGCTGGGCGGGCGCGGCGCCGACGAGATCGAGGACGCAGCCGCCATCTCGCGCGACCTCGAGGCGCCGTGCAATCAGCAGCCGCAGCCGCAGCCGCCGCAGCAGCTGCGGCAGCCGCCGCCGCCGGAGCAGTGCTGGCGGGCGCGACTGGTTGCGGGCGCGCTGGACGCGACCGCCTTTGGCGCGCTGCAGGCCGACATTGCCACCG